TGGTGAGTCACCACCGTAGCTCCGGTGACTCACCAGGCTTCACCCTTTTAACTAGTTCGAAGGGAGCACCATGGGGTCCTATAAAAAAGGACCTCGAACCTATAAAAGAGAGAAAAATGGCAACGATTCGAACCATAAAATCACTAACATAGGGCAACCAGAGAAAAACGGAGCAAACAAGAGCAACCAAATCATTCAAAAGCTATAGAACAATAAAAAAGAGAACGAGAGATCCTACCCACAATTGTCGGAGTTCTCCAAACCACGTGGAACCGCCGGATTTTCCTAGGTATTTCCTTAGATCTACAGAGTTTGGAAGAGTTTTAGGCTAAAAAGGGCTCGGATTTGGGCTTATGGACTAAAAAGCTTAAATTTTGGGTATGAAAAAATGAGAGATAGAAGGCCTATTAGGTCGGGTAAAGGATATAAATACCCTCCCCGAATGACGTCGTTTGGGGGAGGGACTATCTACTTATTTTGAGCATGGGGAAATCATTCTCGCAATCTTTCAGACTTTGTATCTTTACATTCTGGTCACTGAAATTAATTTCCACATGTTTTAATTTGTCTTACGAATTTTATTTTATTTCTATTTTAGTCACTAACTGTATTTATATAAGTTTTGTGTGAAATACCCGAGTTAGTCCCTATCATTTTAATAATTTATATTTTAATCCTGAATAATACTTAGGGTTAAATTACCATTCCAGTACCTCAATTTTATGATGTTTATGTTTATGGCTATTACTTTCGATGTTTGGCAATTTAATCCATGAACTTTAACATTTTTAATTTTTATTTTTATTATTGGTTTATTTACAATTGTAGTACCTAAAGTATGAGATATTTGCAGTTGTGAACTTAATATTTTGTAGTTTTATAATTTAATCTTTAAATTTATTATATTTATTATTTTAATTCTTTATTTATATATTTGTTAATTTTTACTAATTATAATATTTTTAAATATTATTTTACTCAAGTAATTTATAGAATCACGCCTTAACTGACAATGAATGTATTTCTAAGGACTATTCGTATAAAATAATATCCCTGTTTATTTTTCTAAAAAACAAATATCATAATTTAAATATTATTCGAATTTGCCAATTTTAATATTAAGATGACGTATAATCGTGTAAGTCCTAATTTTGGGCGTTGTGGGGGTGCTAATCCTTCCCCACACGTAACCGATTCCCAAACCTTTTCAAAATGAATCCCTGGTCAAACGCCGGTCAATTTTTATCTTTTAAAATTATTTTAAAAGGTATTTTCAAGTATTCGACTTACCTAACTCAAAAGTCGATGGCGACTCTAAATTTGTCTATTTATTTAAAAACCGACATGTCCCAATATTAAGTCGGATTGATCTCGAGAAAGCCCTAAAAGGTCGGCGGGGACAGTTTTGACACCTGTCATCTCTACTTCTAGAGGAGAAGAACCTTCTCCCTTATTCACACTCAAGTAATCGTCAAACCTTGGTGGGGGCCTCGGGTTTCTCCTAGTCTGCTGGTTCTACGAGTATGAGCGTGGGGAGATTTAAATGTGGTTAGTGGCATGGGCTTCAATATTCCACCCATCATAGATAAAAAGGCTATTTCCCAAAAGCACGACTTTAAGCATTTTTCTAGGTTAAAACAACAAGGCTACATTATTCCTGTTTCTGCCGACTTCCGAGATGTGTGGGCAAGCATTTCATTCACAATTTTGTTATCCAATTGGTTGGTTTTAAAAAAGAAGGGCTTTTATTCTTTGTCGACTGATGTTTCATCTTTTATGAACAGTACACATTACCGTAATATTAAAACCATTTTAAGACAGAACTAAACCTCACTACTTTATGGAAAGATTCTAAAAAGATTATTATTTTACTAAATAAAATAAAAAATTTAAGTCTGTTATGGCTGGATCTGTCTTGATGCATTGGAACGAAGGTACTTACATGCATTTATTCCTTGTTTATTGCTGAGATTGTTTGGTTACCACTAAAATCATATAAATATTCCTTCTTCTTCTTTTCTTATTTTCTCCTAGTCTGCTGGTTCTACTAGTATGAGCGTGGGGAGGTTTAAATGTGGTTAGTGGTGGTGACAGACCTCATTTCTTCTATTTCAACGTATATGTTGGCTATCTCATATAACTGATTGATCTTTGTTTTTTGACTATCCATCAAGGGGTACCTCAAAGGCTCGTGGCGGAACTCGAGATGTACGCAGATACCGTTTACTCATCCGACAGGTCATAGACATAATGGGTGGTTCTAGAGAATATTTCTGTATAACCCCTCAATGGCTTGCCAAACTTTTGGACTATGCCGAGGATGAAGGCTCTCGAGCCGTGGACGATTTTATTTGCTAGGCACTGATCGATAAAAAGATGTAAAACTGTTTAATGTCCCCTGTTGACCTTGCAGGTAATGACTCTTATCAATTTTGTATGTGAGGACCCCATGATGTTTATGCAGTCTTTGTATAGGGAAAAATATTTTGTGAGGTCTCTAGTCTCTTTTGGGAGTTTAAAGTGTGGAGGAATTTAAAATATTTTGACAATTTGAAAAATATAAATTTTCTTATATTTTTTTGAATTTTTTTAGATTTTTTAAATTATTATTTAAAAATAATAAAATAAAAGTTTAGTTGCATTTGACGGCCAAAAAAGATATTAATCATTAAATTATTATGTCATATCATCTCTTAACGACATTTAATGTAACAATGATATTTTTTAACCGTTAAAATATTTTAATTGTCATTTTTTTAAAAATTTTGAAAGTTTAGTGACAAAAATTTCATTTGAACATGATTTATATACATAGGATGTACTTGTCTCTAAAAGTATATGTTGTTTACATGGATGTATACATGATTTTATGTCATGAGACGAATTATAAAATTTTAGAGCACGAAAATAGATCATCAATTCAAAATATAAAAAAATAAATTGTATAAAAACTAAAAAATTCTAGGGGACAGTCGCCCCCTCCCCACATCTCTCAGTTCACTTCTAATTATTTATTTATATTTTCGGTATAAGTACATAAAAAGTGGATTGTATGCTAGAACAAGTGGTAAATATCAAATTTACAATGATAAACACCAAATTTGAAAAGAAAAATAACTAAACAATATCAAATTGAAGAGGTAAATATGATATTGAATGATCTCAAACTCCAGTGACACAAAAATTCTTTAAACTAGAATAACTGGGCTGTATGCTAAATTCATCCTTTTTCACGTACATTATCATAATGTTATTACATATCTAATCTAGAGTCTAGATACGCATATCAAATTAAGTAAAATATTGCCTTGCGTATATAAAATGTACAAGAAAATGCTTTAGAAATTAGAGGTTTTTTATCCTTAATTTGTTGCAGAGTGTTTAAAATATAGTTTTTTCAAAGATCAGGACTTGAAAATGTGGAATTTCGTTGGAAGTATGTGCATATATTATATCTCAAGTTATAAAATTTTGTTAGCTAGAAGTTAAACTTACCCTTTCAAATGAAATTTCATTAAATTATTTGTAGTGCAACATAAGTTTACAATATCTTTTGCATAGCAATTACTTTGGTTGCACCAACCAAACAACACTTCCACCAATACAATCACTTCCACATTATAATCAAATTAAACGTAAAAACTAATTAGAAATTGAATAATTATTGTATTTATATAAAACTAGTACATCAATCAGCTAATAGTATCATACAATCCGATTTTTTATGTCAAATCATAAAAAATATAATATTAAATGCAAAAGCGTATGTGAATCTTATAATATATTAAAACCTTAAATATTTTGGTTTTGATCTTTCAAGAAGATATGTTTCCTCTCTTTTCGTAAAACTCCCCATTGAACATAAGACAAGTTGCCTATATTTTGGGACCATTAAATTTTTTTATAAACTGGATATTAAATCAATTTATAAGTATTTATAATTCTACATCTCATCAAATTATAAATACAACTTATGATATTTGTACTTTATTTCCATGACACAATAATAATATGACACATGTAACATAATAAGTCACTTAATTTTGTATCATACTTTAAAATAACATTATACATTATACATATGTGCTCACAATTACAGATTTTAATCCAACATCAATTACATGTAGGGATGGGCACGGGACTCGAACCTGACAGGTTTCGACCCAATCGAGTTGGGGTTTTTTAAATTATGGGTTCGGGTCGGGCTTTTTAGAGGATAAGTTCGGTTCAGTTTTAGGGTAAAAAATAGTCGAACCGACACAATCCGATATGAAAAATAATATAATTATACCTTATATATTTAGAGATAATTAGAATAATACCTCTATTTATATTATTTTTTTTACAATTAAGTCTCTATTTTATTGAATAAAATTAATAATTTTATATTATTTTGGTTCAAATCGGAGTCGGAGTTGGGTTTTATCTCAAAAGTTGGGTTGAGTTTCAGGTCGAATGAAATTATCCTAAATTTGAGTTGAGTCAAATTTCTGATAGGGGGTCTAATTAAACTTTTCGGTTCGAATCGAATTGGCCGAAACCCTAGCTCACCCGACCATGCCTACCCCTATTTACATTAATACTACCGTGTCCTTATTGATTTATTCATATATGATTATATAGTTCGAAAGACATTTTGCATCACTAGAAAGGAAGTAAACTTTCCAAAGGTCAATGGTTTGTTTGCTTGGTTTCTAATTAATCAACAAGGATGGTAAACTTTCCAAATGTCATTTATATCTTGAAATTCTTGGGTATTATGGTTTTGATCTTTTAAGAAAATAGTTTTTTCTTGTTATAAAATTTTATGATAGGATGGAAAAAAATACAAGTTAACATATTTCTTGGGAATAACTAACTCTTTTTATATATTGAATATTAAATCAATTTATAAGTATTTATAATTTTATCATTCATCAAATTATAAATACAACTTATTGTATCTACATTTTACTTCTATGACACTTCAATACTATAACACGTGTAACATAATTGATCTCTTAATTAACAAGGTTAGGAAACTTGAACATGGTTGGATTCACCACACTGTACCCTCCATCGACCAGGAGATTGAGTCCACTCACATAATTTGCTTCGTCACTGGCCAGGTATAGAGCGGCCTTGGCTACACATTCTGGCTTGAGAATTTCACCCTTTAGATTTCCCATATTGCTCAATTTCAGTTCTACAATCGATCTCTGTTCTACAGTAATCCCCGGAAAGCTCGTTACGACGCCGTAAGGCGATATACAATTTACTCTTATTCCGTATTGTCCCAAATCAGGCGTCAAGTTCTTAGCCAGTCCCAGAATTCCATACTTGGTTGCTGCGTAACTGTGGGACGCAAGCCCTGCAATCGAAGTGCAAGCACTGGCGGTGAAGAGAATACAGCCTTTACGTTGGGGTATCATTACCCTTGCTGCATGCTTGGCTCCAAGGAAAGCACCAATCAGGTTGACTTCAAACATCTTTTCCAGGTCAGATTTTTTAGCATCCAAAATCCCTCCGATTGTTGGGTGGTCCATGATGCCTGCATTGTTGTACATAATGTCGAGTTTTCCATGTTTGGTGATGGTGGTGTCGATGAGATTGCGGATGTCGTCTTCATTCGATACATCGCAATGGATGAAGCAAACGTTTTCACCGAGCTTGCCGGCTATGGTTTGGCCTTGGCTATCTTGGATATCAGCAATGACAACTTTGGCACCATTTTCATGGAAAACATGAACAGCACTTGCTCCAATCCCACTGGCGCCACCCGTTATAATCGCCACCTTGTCTTCAAGCCTGAAATTTGATGATTATGCATTCGTGCAAATGAAACTTATGATCATCTTTAGAAATTTGAAGATTAAATTTGTTAAAACTAACAGTTGCTTCAGAAACTTATATACTAGTTCTTTGTTACCTCTTCTGAGACATTGCAATGCCTACTTTCACACGTCTGTGAAAAATTATAATTTAGCAGGAAGTGGAAGAAGCTAGAGGATTGGCTCTTGCGTATTTTCTCTCAGTGGCGTCCAGGCATTTATGTATGTGCATATATATACTAGTAATTAACCTATACTTCACCCAGAACATTTTATTGGTTCATTTTATGTCGGTCAATGGGAAAACTCGTTTTTAATTCTTGAAGAACAGAATTGACAATATTAATACCAGTAATTACCATTACATACGGGTGTAAGATTTTATGTTGGCGATGAGTTTAAATAATTTCAAAGAGATGTATTTATAAAATTTAAAAGAAAAATATTATCAATAAAAAAACATAAGGATAAATTACACGTTTATACCTAAACTATCAATTTTTATCCATTTTAGTACCCAAAATTTCAAAAATTTTAAAATCATATCTAACGTTTATTTTTGTTTTGCTTTAGTTCATCGCCGTTAAAAACTTAAGGGTGATTTGCACGTGACACCTTTTTTATGGGTAAATTGCATCATTTATCACTCAACTATATTCTCACTCCTATTTTGGTCACTAAAGTTTAAATTGTTTAATTTAATTATATAACTTTCAAATTACTTCTAATTTAATCACACTAACTTTTTAATTTCTTTTTTATTTTTAATTATATATTAATAAAATAATAAAAAAATCATGTCACAAAAATTATTAATAAAATAAATTAGAGTGATTAAAAATATGAGTAATTTAAAAGTTGAGTAGTTAGATTGAAAATTTTCAAACTTTAGTACCAAAAAAGGAGTGCAAAGATAGTTGAGTGATGAATGATGTAATTTACCCATAAAAATACAGTGTCGTTAAGTTTTTAACGGCAATATACTAAAATGAAACGAAAAATAAATGTTAGGTATGATTTTAAAAAAATTAAAAGTATAGGTACTAAAATGGATCATAACTAATAATTTAGATATTAAACACGTAATTTATCCAAAATATAAAAATATTTAAATTATATAAAAATTTAAAATTTTGAGGTGAATATCCCGCTAATTCCTTCGTCTATCCCTTATTATAATATTTGGGAGAAAAAGTTAGAACTTCAACCAGAGAACATGCGTTAATTTAAAAAGTTTGAAACATATGGGAAATCATTATAGCAAACTCTTACCGATTAATCCTCTGAATTTACCAAATCCACGAATGTCATCCATTTTTGCCCTTAACATTTTTTTAGAAGTTACGAATTATAAATTTAAACTATTCATTTCTCTTAAATTAAGGATATTTTTTTTTTTACTTTTTACAAATTACATACTAGAATTTTCAAATATTCATTTGTTGAATTATAGAAAAGATTATTGTATCCCGAGAGTTGTTCATGTTATGGAACGATGATTGGCATAATCTTGCGATGATCATTTGCGTGAAAAATAAATAAAAACAGAAGTTCACGTTTGATAACATAGCAGGAAAGGAAAAACATCCGTACAAGTTACCAACAATGCTAATTTTTACGTATTTTATTTCTTTAATACAAAATCGTACAATATTTTTTGTCCTCCCTGTTCCTTAGGGTTATTATTTATTAATCCAGATTGATCTGGATCATACACTTAGTTTTTGTGAGTGAGACTTCCAACAGAGATTTTCTGCATACATAATAACTCAAACTCGAGACTTTTTTGAACAATATCAAGTTGTTTATCACTTGAACCAACCCCGTTGATGTATTTTTTTATTCATCAGAAAATATACTATTACTTTTGAGTTGATTCTCTTAAAATAAAATAAAAATTATTTGTAGCGACAACTTTCGTATTTTTCTTTATTTTTAGCTATTACTATATTTTTCTCTTATTTATGGTGTGTAGGGACGGACGAAAAATTTTATGTCAGAAGGTCAAATTATAAAATTTTTGAAGAGATAAACATATAAAATTTTAATAGCGAAAATAAATTATCAGTAAAAAATATATAAAAAAACCTAATTTATATGAGAATTTAAAATTTTCAAGGATTCCCTACTAACCGTCTCGGTCCATCTTGATGACATGTGTGTGAATATAAATAATTTTCATTAAAAATATTTATAATAATTATTTGAGCAAATGGTTATTTGTGGATGATAAGATAATTATATATGAATTTGTTGCTTTTATTTATTCATAATCAGTATTATATAAATATTTTATTTAAAGATTATAAATAAAAATATGAACATGGAAAATATGCTTATAATGATACTAATTATCGTTTAAAATAAAAATATTTTAATAATTTTTAAATTACTTTAGACTCAAATTAACTCAAAACATTAATTTAATCAGATGTTTTATATAGTATTTGTTTTCGTGTCTAACGTAGAAATGTTGAAATATGTAGGGATGGACCAAATGAGGGTAGTTGGGGGCTGTCGTTAGAGGGGTTTAAAATTGGATATTTGTATTTTGGGTATTTGAAATATTGAGTATTCAAATTTTTAGATATTAAAATATCAGTATGTGTCATATTTTTATTTAAATTATATTATTTTAAAAAATATAAAAAGTCTAAAATACATCATTCATACATAAATTTCAAATTTCAAATTACATAATTAAAAGATAAAATGTATTTAAAAGAATTAAATAAATATACTTAAATATAAATTATTTCAAAATTAAACAAATAATTTGAGAAAATGAAATAATTTAATAAATTTAGAATTTAGAATGTTATGGTGAAATAATTTAAGAAATTATGAATATAGAACGTTAAGGTAAAATAATTTTAAGAATTAATAATAAAAAAATTAATATTAAAAAAATAAAAAATTAAAATTGGGTACCAAATAGTCAAGTAGTCAGTTAAGAGGAATTTAGGAATTTTGTGACCCGTGCTTGATTCGAAAACCCATAAAAATAATGGATCAATACTCGACCAACAAATTCAAGTATTTTCATTATAAGTGCACAATATTTTTTAATTGGGTCCGTCAGTCAGCAGGTCCGTAATTCGATTCGGGTATTTTTGAACACTCATAACGGTTGCCCTTAAAAGTTTTAAATTCTTATATATGTTAATTTTTTTATATTTTCTATTGCTAAATTATTATTTTTTTAGAATTTTATAAATTTGTTATACCTTAAAATTTTATAAATTTATTCTCTAACATAAAATTATGCATTCATATATGAAAATATGAAAGCTGCGAAGTAAACGAAATCGAATAAAATGAAAAACCAGGCAGATGGTTAAATTGACAAGGAACATATATGAAGTAGAAGAGTCACATGAAAAGGAGACTCATAGCCCTCCTTTACTTGTTCAAGTTATCCACAGGTTGCTGATTCTTATATTGGTAAGCATCGGCAAACTATTCCATGGATGACTTTCATCAATTAATTAATTAATTAATTTCCCAAATTCAATGCTCTTCTTTCTATTTCCCAAAATCGACTAATTTACCTAACTGGTTTGTAGCAAGAGCATAAATTTTCACACTTCTCGAAACAGGGCTGAACTTAAAAGGAGCCGATGAAGGGTATTATTCTTTAAAAATTTTAAATTTTTATATATTTTAAATATTTTTATTGATAATATGTTTTTGTTCCTTGAAATTTTTACAAATGTGTTGTTCTTTCTATAATTTTATAACTTTTTTTCTCTTAACGTAAAATCTTGCTTCCGTCTCCTATCGAAAATCTTCTTCCCATCCGTTAGTCCAGAAACTAATGGAATTGCCCTAGTTATCAATGCGTCCCACCTAAAGAGTGAACAGAGAACTTGCATCGTTAAACGGACTGATTTTACGACTATCATATCATATTACAAATATGTGCATTAAAACAATAAACTTATAACTCATATGCTAAAATAAATCATCACATAATACATCACTTATTCATATGGACACAATTAATCAAAATAAGACAAATAATAAGAAATATTTAGTTATGAAACTTAGATCATGGGATTAGCATAATTATGAACTCTTTATTAACACAACGAATCATACAAGCTAACCGTAACTCAGAACACTCAGTAATTCTTACCTTGCAAGCTTGTCAAAATTCAACTATTTTTTCGCCTTTTGATTTGTTAGATGATTGTGTTGGTGGATTCAATATTCAGGTCCGTTTCTAAGATTTTAGTGGCCTAAGAGTAGAGGTGTAAATGAATAGAGTGTTACCTTGACGGCCTTCTACTTTGCACACCACCACCCACAACTCTACCATTCATTCTCCATGATGTCGAGAACACAACCTCATCGAGCAGTAGCAAACCCTTATTGCCCCTGTGTGAACCTAATACCTTTCTTCTGCTCCTTGCAAAATACAGTGTCGTCATACATCCACCAACCTCGTTTTTATTTTTTTCAATCTTTCACCAATATCCCAACCATTTGTCTTCCATCCTAAGTCGCAACAGCCTCCCTACGTAAGCACAACCCAGCAACAGCCCCCATAAGTTTCAATGTTATTTTTTAAGGGTCTCAACGTTTTTCTTTCTTTTTTTTGTTTCGTGTTAATAAAATTAGTTGACCCTTATTCCCATATGTAATGGGGTAAGGGGAGGTAGGATAGTAGGCTGCCCCCAACGTCAGGTTGAAAGCAGCTTCCGTAAGAGACCTCGCGGAGAAGTGTTTTGATACTCCAATATAAATGTAAGTAGAGGTCTCTCTACAATGTGCTATTTAGCGAAGTGTCTCGACACTATGATTGAGCGGAGGCATCTCCATCATGCGCTGATGCAAAGGCTTCCCCGTACAAAGGCTCTTGATGCTAGATATGAAGGTATTAATCATGTGACGAGAGGAACCCTATAGACGAAGGAAAATTCTTTTTCATGTAATTTTTTCAATGCTTTGTGTAATATCTCTCGTGGAGGGTGACATCACAGGTGAATGATTTGATAGAATATATCAACATTTCGACGCTATGGAGGGAAAACAAAGGTTTCTCAACTCTTTTAGTTGTTGATTGTAGTGGTGATAGAGTTGTTGTAGCAAGAGATATGGCATAAGTTTCTCTAACACTACAACAAAAGTGTTCTGTAGCGGCGTTTGGAGAGTAAACGCCACAATATTTTGGAATATAGCGGCGTTT